GGCCGAGCCTCTCTGCTGGGTGTGTTCTGCCGTTGAACTTGTGCTAGACCCTTGCTCAGCGGCTGAGCCTCTCTGCTGGGCGTGTTCTGCCGGTGAACTTGTGCTGGGCCCTTGCTCCGCAACCGAGCCTCTGAGTGATCTTGGCTCTGCCAATGACCCTTTGTGAGATCCTTGTCCTGAAGCAGATAGTTTTCGGGACCCTTGGCTCTGTCCTTGTCCTGCACTTGGCCCTCTGTGGGGTCTCTGTTCTCTGCCTGCCGTGTCCAGTGATGGCTCTTGGCCTGCACTTATCTCTCTCCGCTGTTGTTCTTTTTCATGGCCTTGGCCAACAAGTTTTCTAGTAGCTAACGTTTTCATCTGTAAGAGCAGTTCATCAAAGTCTTCATAAATGTGCTTCTTAATATCCGTGTCTCCCCAGAACTCAGTCAACTCTATCTCTTCAAATTCGACAAATGGCCCTAATGCAGACAACAAAGGATTTAATCTAAATAACTGATCTTACAGTATAGAACCAGTAATCCCAGCACGTGGGAGGCAGAGGCAAGTGGATCTCTGTGAGTTCCAGGCCAGCCTGATCTGCAATGAGTCCAGGACAGCCAGGGCTCTGTTACACAGAGCAACCCTGTCTCGGAAAACCAACACCAACCAACCAACCAACCAAATAAATATCAGAGCTATGTGTGGTGGCACATGCCTTTAATCCCAGCACTGGGGAGGTTGAAACAGGCAGATCTTTGTGAGTTTGAATCTAGCCTGGTCAACATAGCAAGTTCCATACATAACAACAAAACAAACAAAATATCAGGTACCTTTTGCTGCAAGTAGATAACACAAGGGAACACAAGAATTCTCAGTACTGTGAATTAGTTATCAGCCCTCCTGAAAGGTGTGTTTTATGAGACAAACATATCTCTTTATTTGGAGTGCTGCTTGGATTACTAAAACAAGTGAAAATTGTCCCTAACCTTTGTGGCCCCTTTCCATACAACAAGCACAGCACAGAGATGGGGAATGGAAGTGTCTTTCCATCTCAAATGTCTTTAAAATATCTACAGCTCAGGCTGCAGTGTGCCTGCTGTACACACAGATGGCCACGGTCTGATCCCTAGAGCTCACAGAGAGGTAGAAGAGGAGACTCCAGTCCACAGAGCTGCCCTCTGACCTCCACATGTGCCATGTGGCGTGCAAGCACCCCTCACACACACACACACACACACACACACACACACACACACACGCGCGCGCGCGCGCGCCACGCTCACACTCAAATAATAATAAATTAAAAATCCTACGCTACGAGGAAGGAAAGCTAGCCGCTATCAGTGGCAAACTCTCGCCTGTTTCGCTCTCCATCCCTTTCTTTTTCTTCGAGTCGTCTTTAGTCCGCAACTCTTCTTCTACGACCTAGGAGGACATGTGGTTTTCCATGCAAAGCAGCGAGAGTGCAGCTCAGAAGTATGCTGCCTGCTTAATTTAAGTTCAGTTTCCAGGACAGAAGAAAGCGAGGGAGGGAGAGATGAAGGAAAGAGGGTAGCACTTCAGGGAAGTGCCGGATAGTATTCACCAGGCCCTTAAAAAGCAACAAAGTCTTCTGATGACACTGGCCCCTGATGCCAGCCCTCAAGGGAGGTGGGGGGACTAAGATTCCCAGGATTAACTGAGCAACACAGTGAGACCCAGCCAGGAAAAGCCACCCCCTCAGGTAAGAGTCCATAAAATCCTGGAATCTGTGCCTGGCCCCATCCTTCTCAAAACACTTAGTAATTAAGCCAGAACACTGTGGCTCCTACAGCTCCGTGTATACTACCCAAAGATTCATGAGTACCTAAGTAATAAGTGTACGCACAGAAATAAGAACCGGCCATTAAAAGACATTCTCTTCCTGCAATCCCAGCACTCCGGGAGGCAGAGGCAGGAAGACTGCTGTGAGTTCGGGGCCAGCCTGGTCTACAAAGTCCAGGACAGCCAGGGCTACATAGAGAAGCCCTGACTGGAAAACGAAACAAAACAAAAAGACATTCTCTTTAAAAAATATATAAAAATAGGACTGGAGGCATTGGAGAGATGGCTCAGTGGTTAAGGGCACTGACTGCTCTTCTGGAGGACCAGAGTTCAAATCCCAGTACCCACATAGCAGCTCACAACTGTCTGTCACTCCAAATTCTGACATTCTCTCATAGACATACGTGCAGGCAAAACACCAATGCACATAAAATAAAGACAAATAAATTAAAAAGAAAATAGGGCTGGAGGAATGCCTTGGAAGTAAAGGAGCTTGCTGCCAACCAGAGCTGAGTTGGATCCTCTGGACACACAGGGTAGAAGGAGAGAACTTACAAGCTGTCTTCTGACTTCCACGGGAATGCTGTGGCACTCTTTCTCTCATGATAAATAAGCAGATGTGAAAAAGAAAAGTCTGTAATAATATTTAAAACATCCAGAAGAATATTCTAATATGTAAGTATACACGCGTATTTTACATAAAAGCACGTGAGTAAAGCTGACTGGGCAAAGGAAACAGCTTCCATAGAAATCTCAGAATTCTAAGTTAGAATAAAAAATGGAATAATCATTTTTTAACTTAACCTCTAGAGCACTCAGGTTACCAGCAAAGCCTTTATCCGTTGAAACAACTTTTAAAGTCTGTTCCAGCAGAGCCCTGATGTGACACAAGTTTGGATATTGCACTCTGGCGAGGAAGAGCGGCTGTGTCGGAATATGAACAAGCAGACAAGCTACGGCTACTGCGGTTTAGGGCGATGACATGAAGAGATGCCCGTGGGAGAACAATGAGCCATTGCCCTGTCATCGCACGGCAACCCGCAGCCTCCGGGCACTCTTACCTTCCGGTGACACTTACACTGTCTTGGGTTTCGGAGTAAGCTCCTAGTGGTTTGTGAACTTTGATCATAGAATGCTTCCAGCAAGGCCAGTGTCCTCTGCCGATGCAGAACCCTCACCTGTATAGAAACTTTGCAGTTAGTAGCTGCAGCAGAGTTGAAATTTTTATGATGCTAGATCACGACTTTTTGAATAGTCTATCGTGGCCACCACCACCTCCATCATCAAAATCAAGAAGCTGGATCGTGCCTGTAGGCTTCTACTCAACTCTCCCATTTTGTTACAATCAAAATGCCTTGGGCTTAGTGGATATTTAACAAATATTTGAGCTGGGCATGGTGGCATGTGCCTGTAATCCAGCACTCAGGAGGCAGAGGCAGAGACAGTGAGTTCGAGGCCAGCCTGGCCTACAAAGTGAGTCCAGGACAGCCAGAGCTACACAGAGAAACCCTGTTTCAAAACACCAAAACAAAACAAGAAGAGCTTAGTGTGGTGTGGAGTCCTTGTGACCCCAGCACTGGGGAGGTGGAGACAGGTGGAGCCCAGGGGCTCTCTGGCCAGACAGTCTAGTTGACTTGGCAAGTTCCAGGCCAATGAGAAATTCTGTCTCAAAGAAACAAAAAAAGATCAACACCCAAGTGTATTGGACTGATAAAATACATGTGTCATTCTTTAAATTGCCTTTTAAAATTGTGGTTTTGGAAGGGGGTTGAGGCAAAAATCTTGCTATGTTGCCCAGTACAGCCTGAGATTTGGTAGGTAGCCCAGGTTAGCCTGGAACTCAGTATTCTGCTTTGGCTTTCTGGGACTACAGGTGTATGCTACCATGGTCTACCTTCCAAAGCGCTTTTGTTAGCTTAAGGCTGTGATCTAATTTGTGTAGATAGAGAAATATATTCTATTTATTTCAGGGGCTGGAGAGATGGCTCAGCAGTTAAGATCACTGGCTGCTTTTGCAGAGGGCCCAGGCTCGGTTCTCTGCACCCGTGAGGTGGCTCACTACCGTCGATAGCTCCAGCTCCGGAGGATCCAGCTCCCTCTCCTGGTATCTATAGGCGTGTGCTGCGTTTACACAATGCAGACGAGACATCCACACATGGAAAGTTAAAAACTAAATAAATCTTTAAGGGAAAAGAGGTATCTTTACTCCCTTTAACCGCTATATAGTATATATGAAAACACTTCTTAGCATTCTTTTATTAACAGAAGTTAGGTTGTTTCTAGCAAATTTTGAGAAAATTTTGCTTCAATAAATGGTTTTTCTACACATCCTGTGTGCATTCAGATACATTTTTCTAAAGTAAATATATGGAATTACTATCAGGTTTTGCTTGTCAACTGGGTATTTCTCACTCCCTTCTCAACTGTGGAACTAGTAGCACGCCTGGTGCCAGGTGCACATTAAAGGGACTTTATGTCTAGTTCTAGGATGCAAATAGGCTGAGATGGCCGCAGTTCCCACCAGCCCGTCATCTGGCCACAGCAGGATAAATATATCCAGAACCAACAGGCAGAGGGCGAGCGACTGCCTCAGGGGCTTCAGCTCGGCTCAGTCCCTGAAGATGGCACGGCCTGTGGTCTTCCCATCTGCCACCTGCCCGTCTTCCTGCTCCACTCTGAACTGCAGCTTGACTAGAACACTAGCTTCTCCAGAACCTTCTGGCACATTCCTTTACAATTTCCTCTTTTTCCCAGCTCTGGATTCTCAGGTCTCTCTGAACTTCTTTAACCTCTTGTAGTTTTTCTGCAACATAGATGTGTGTGTGTGTGTGTGTTTACTATGTGGTATGTAATATGTGATGTGAGAATTAACATTAGCTGTTAAGACAGGAGAAACCCTGTGTCTGCCCCAGGCGGGGCTGTCAAGGAAAGTGGGAACATCTAGTGAGTGGCTGCTGCAGAAATTCCCATGCCCTGTGAATTTATTGCTGTTCAATAGTTTCCGACATTGTGGAAAGACAAAAAGAAAGAAAAAAGAACAAAAGAGAGAGAGAGAGACACTCTCAAACCGACTTCTAAACTTCTGTTGTCAGGAATTCACAAACACGTGGTTAAAGGAAGCAGTGGAAGAGATGGTTAACAAATAGAGGGGTTTCCTCTCTAAGAACGGGCAGTGGCTTTCCAGGGAGCCAGACACTGCATCTCTTCTGCTTTCGTGGCTCTTCCGTGTCATGGTGGCTATCCTCTGCCATATCACTGGAGGAACTATTTAGCATGACGAGTCATTATGATGAAGCTGCAGGGTGTTCGGTGGCCTCTCTAGGACCATCTTAGGTCCAACCAAGCCTTCATTTTAAACACGTGCATTCGTACCAGTTTTCAAATTTTTCGTTTGCTTTTTCTCTTTTGTCTTTCCTGTTTTTCTTTTTAGTGCTTGCATTTTTATCTGACTAGACAATATTTGAAAAAACTTCTTATTAGTTCTTTTTAAACTTCACATCACGCACCACAATCCCTCTAATTTTCCCCTCATACATGACTGCCTTCGACCCTGGCAACCTTCCTCCCAAAAGAGAAAAAAAACATTGTGCTGTGGAAGCTGTAGTGTGTCACAGTGTGTCCCACAGTATGCCCTTTTGTTCACACATCTTTACTTGCAAATGTTCATCACAGTGAGCCATTGGTCTGGTACGAGGCCTCTGGCTTCTGCTACTCTATCAATCCTGGATCCTCCCTGGGACTCCTCTCAGATATCCTGTTGTTGCCCTGTGTCGGGGAGATCCTGCAGCTTTGGATCTGCAGGACCAGTCCCTTCACAATGCTCCAGCTGTTCATAGATGGGGTGGGGTGAGCCAGCTCAAAGCCCCGGATCTGGGCCTGAGTAGTATCTGAGCTGCTCAGTCCTCTGACTGATGGTGTACTTGGCTGGTACTGTTACCATTTCCATTTCCAGAGATCTTCTGCCTTTTCCTCCTCATCTCGCAGTTTCTGAAGGGGAAGCAGCCTCTCCCTCATACCAGCTTCCTAGGTTCAGATTATTTGGCCAGCTATTATGGACCAGCTGACTTCTTCCCTGGGCCAGCCACTCTCATTCTGCTCCATGCTGGCTGGCCCACAGATGCTAGTCTGTGAGTTTGAGGACCCTGCTTTCTGGAGCTCCTAAACTTTGCTCTTATCCCAGTGTTCTTTCTTTCCTCTCAAGTACCCCAGTGATCTCCCAAACAGTCTTACAGGGCTTATGGGAGGCCTGGAAGGATGCCCCTAGACAGCCTTACAATACAGCAAAGGTAGCTTTTCCGATGGTGACCAGAAATGAGAATGCAGCTCTTTCTAGAATCTGACACACGGTCACTGCTTCTCCTTCAGCCGCCACAGCCAATATGTGACCATTCTTGAAGCATTTACTGCACAGATAAGCGTTCCCTAAATATCTCTGTGTCTTTCATGAACAGCTCTACAAGGTCCATCCCACCACATAGCATTTTCCATTCATGAAAGACGTTATTTTTGTGGGATAAAGAAATTCTGAAATGACTCAGTTGTTTGAAATGTGTGTGTGTGCAATGTTTATTTATTTAAGTAGATACATTTAGGTTGTTTTACAAAGACACACTAGCTTTAACTTTCACTAGGGGTGTTTGGGGAGATGTGTTCTCTCTGTGTCGAGCATGTAGTTATTTTAGGAATCGTGTGCTGTGTTCTCTGTTCATTGCTCTAGGGGCTTGCATGGCGCCCTGCCGTCAGGGAAAGGAATGCTCCGCTCGGTGCAGCTATGGTGCTTGCCGGCTGTGTGGTACACAAACATCATGCCGCTTACTCATGTGGAAGTTTTGCTCTGGTTTTTACTTTTGATACCGCCAGTTCCTGACGAAATCCTGTGTGTCTTTTTTTAGAGCTATTCTCGGACCTCCTCTGGACAGGCGACTCCCTTCACAGTGTGTGGTTAGGGGTGCTGACCACTGGCTATCAGGGTGGATGAAAGGTGCTTTCAAGCCCATCTACTTAGACCACCTTCTGCTGTCCTCAAATCTTTCCACTGAGCTTCCTACTCAGGCTTTCCAAATATTCATAATGTTACCTTCAGCCTCCAACTCTGAATAGGGCTAAGGAGTGGAGAATCAGGTACGAACCTAGTTCCGAGGCACAGATGACCTCCAGGTCTTAGCTATCTGTCTCTGGCCTCCTCCTCCTGCCAGCTGGCCCTAGTTTTCTAGTGAGACAGAAACTGCTTTGACACTATTTTTTTATACTAGTAGCTATTCTTCCTTGCTCTTTGGTTCTCTCATCTTTCTTAAGAACCCAGTATTTTTATTATAAAATTCAGACTTTCTAAATGTTTGTTTTAGCCACTGCTAAAAAAAATATTATAAAGAAATTCAATTGACTTTTGTGTCCTAGATTCTACCTTCCTTCCAAGATCACCACATGACTGTTTAATGATGGGGAACAAGCAAGGAGCACAAACAAACCTCTACTAATTTCTCCAAATATTATCCCACCATATTGACCATGGCACTGGAGTTACTGTTAAATTAATTGGCCAGCAGACAGTAGTTGCCTTCTAGGCATTTTACCAGGAAATAAAAATCATGAGACCAGAATAACCCAGCAAATTCTGTCAAAAAGGCACTGTTCAAAGACGAGTTTGAAAGACAAATAGGCATTGTGGATTTCATAGACTGTATTTCTGATTTAAGTTAAATTAGCAGGGATCTGAGAAACTAGATAGCAATAGGTTAGTTCCTTTTTGAGAATTAGCTTTTTCTCAGCTGGTTGTGGTGATTCATACCTGTAATCCCAGCACACAGGAAGTGGAAGTGGGAGGATTGCAAGTTCATGGCCTACTATGGCTGCATAGCAAACTCTAAGCCAGTCTGGGCCATAATAATGAGATCTTGTATAGAAAGAAAGAAACAAAGATAGATAGATAGATAGATAGATAGATAGATAGATAGATAGATAGATAGA